CAAATATATTTTTTATTGCTTAAAAAAAAGTTGCTCTTATGTTATATTCAATTTCTCTTAAAGATTAATTGAAAGAATTTAACTTTCAGAACAATATAAAAACTTTTACTGTTAAATAGGTAACTAACTTCATCTCAAAGATATCTCAAAGATACTTACAGCATATAATTTATGATCTAGCAGCCAAAAAGATTGAACAAGAATAGATGAGTTTTGGGACAGCTTTAAACACTCTTTAATTTTTTCTGAGGTTTTGCTAGTTTGTAGTTCACTTACACATTCACATAAATCTAAGATCCAATAATAAAAAAGCAAAAGTGGTGATTCGTCTTCAGAAAGATTTTGAAGGAAGAAAGAACACATTATCTAAACCAAATTTAAAAAAATTTGATTAAAAATTCCAGACAAAACTTTAAAACAATAATATCTATAAATAGTTTAGAAAATAAACTTTATTGTGTCACACAAATAAAATTTACATGCCTCAATTGAAAATGGAGGATATTTAATTAACTTTGTTTCATCTTCAATTTGATCTCGAGACCCTATGTTTAATGGCTCCAAATTATTTAACATCAAATCAATGAGTAAAGATAAGTTTGAATCATTCCTAAAATATAACAACATCATTATAAGATTTATGAAATATAGATATAAGAAATATAGATATAAATCAAGCCTTTCCAGAAAAGGTGTGCAACCACGAAAACGTTTTTCAAGTTAGAGAATGTGATCACGGTCGTTTGCGCAAGTTTTATTATATGCGTTGCTAAAAATTGTTTTAAATTTAATAACTACATAAGAAATAAATACATAATTACATAAGTAAACTTAATTAGAAAACAATAAAAGTAGTTTAAATAATTTGTGTGTTGTTTTTATTTTTGTTTTTTCTTAGTGGTTATTAATATCCGCAACAAAATTCAGTAAGTCAACTTTCCCATATTTTATGTGTTTTTTCTTTTAAAGAGGAAAAAGAAAATATGTATCGTCATCTGTTTGTAAAATATATTTGTATAATTATAATGTAACAAGTTTATATCAAGAGTTAAATTAAATGGTCACAATATATTATACAAATTTTATTACAAAATTTTACAAACAGATGACAATACATATTTTCTCTTTCCTCTTTAAAAGAAAAAACACAAAAAATATGGGAAAGTCGTCCTTTTCAACGCCTAAAACCGTTTTTTTTTTGTTTTGCTTTGACTTACTGAATTTTGTTGCTGATAATAATAACCACTAAGAAAAAACGAAAATAAAAACAACACACAAATTATTTAAACTATTATTATTGTTTTCTATTTAAGTTTACTTTAATTTCTTATGTAGTTATTAAATTTAAAACAATTTTTAGCAATGCATATGATAAAACTTGCGCAAACGGCCGTGATCACGTTCCTTAACTTGAAAAACATTTTCCTGGTCGTACGAGACGAAAAACCCCACGTCTTTCCTGGGAAGGCTTGTAAATTATATAGATATAATACATAAATCAGCGATCAAGGTTTTATATAAAAGAACTCCAGCTACATTGTGTTGGTACACCTATCATACAAGCTACATTGTGTTAGTACACCACATGCGTGAAATTACCAATAGGGTAAAAAAAATATTCAAAAATATTTTTACACTAGATTCAAGTTTCTTTAGTTAAATAAGAAATGATTTTTACAAAACTTTAAAAACAATGTTCAAGAATATTATTACAATTTTAACATTTTCACATTTTCACAAATATTTAACATTTTCACAAATATGCAAACAAAAAATTAAATGTAAATTGATTTTTAGAACAAAAATAAGTGCAATACTATAAAGATTTTGAAAAAAAAAAAAAAAAGATAAAATTTTCAATAACAAACCAAATCAGACTTATTTAGTCGAACTAACTGTAGGCTAGTATTTTTTTAGATTAAATTAAAAATACTTCTTAATTAAATATTTTAAATACATCTTAATTAAATATTACAGCATAAATAATAAAGCATAAAAGCCCTACGTATTTAAATTTTGGAAAGATTCTTCTTCTATATTTGCTTTTTTAAAAAGCAAATATTGTTTATAAGCTATCTACATTATTCAAATTTTTTATAACTTTTTAAACAAATTTTCATCTTTTATTTTCATCTTTTATTATTCATTTCATATTTTATAAATTTTTATAATTTTATTGAAAATACTAACACAGATATAACTTTTTCAAACAAATGCTTCAAAAAAAAAAATAAGTTTGTATAAAAGTACAAAAGCCAATAACAAAAAAATAATTTCTTGACCCTATTTGTAATTCCATACCTATGTACTGTTGTTTGACTATTTTTTTTCTTGTTTAATATTTTATTGATTGAATTTCAAAATATTAATGTGTAATGAATAAAACCTATTATGCAAGTTTAATTTTGAAGTGCTTAACAAAAATACTAAATTAAAAAAAGTATTAAAAATGGAATTAAAACATAATATATATATATATATATATATATATATATATATATATATATATATATATATATATATATATATATATATATATATATATATATATATATATATATTTAACAGTACAAAAATTTAAGAACAAAAAACATTCAAGATACTAACTTTTTAGAATTTTCAATGCGACGAGCATCATAAAAATCATTTAAAACTTCAAATGGATAGGATATTTTTCTTGATGACTTTTTAATTTTTTGATCTAGCTCTGGAAGAACACGACCATCTATGAGTAGCAGTAAAACATCGCAATACTGAAAAACAATAAAATACATGTATGTATGTATGTATGTATGTATGTATGTATGTATGTATCTCTCTCTCTCTTTCTCTCTCTCTCTCTCTCTCTCTCTCTCTCTCTCTCTCTCTCTCTCTCTCTCTATATATATATATATATATATATATATATATATATATATATATATATATATATATATATATATATATACACACACACACACACACACACACACATATATATATATATATAATAGGGTGGTTCTAAAAGTAATATTTTTAACTTTACCTTATTCTAGGCACCCACCTATTCTGTACCTAATATAATGAAAATTTTATGAGCAAAAAATCAGAATCATTGTGTGGTGGTCCTCAAGCTGGATAATATCATTTTGAAACAATATTAGCAATCTGTGTATATCAATGAACTACAACTAAACTTAATTTTTATCCTTTTAAATTGTAGAAACATTAATTTTTAACTGACAACTTATGCTACATTAAATAAGAACATGAATTAATTATTTTTTAACACACTTGGATTTCAATTAAATTTAAAACCTACTGTATTTTTAATCACTTTAATAAAACTACATCTATTCCAGTTTTATAAGAATTTTATAAGAATTTCAAATTTCTGTCTGTAAAGCGAAATCAGAATAAAACTAAAACTTGAGAAAGAGTTATCTATTGATAAAAAAAAGTGCCTGGCCAAACCAACACCCTAAGTCAATCAAAATATTAAAAAAAAACAAACAAAAAAAACAAATACAGAATAAGTGAATGAAATTAAAATCACTTATAGTTGGTGAAAAATTCAATTATCTGACAATGGGTGAATATAAAAATCTCTATAAATGGTTGAGAAAAAAGATGGTTTAAAGTCTTCATAAATAGGTTAAAAATAAAGAAGACTATAATAGATTAATATATAGGCCTTAGTAGGATATCTGAAAGTTATTTCTGCTTTTTAGTCGCTGTAAAAAAATAAAAAATAAATCTGAAAACCTGCTGGCAATGTTAAGTGTTCCACTTAACATAACCAGCAGTGAAAATATTATTTGTGCATGAAAAAAGTTTAATATTATGTTAGCATAGCACTCTAGATGTAGCAAAGTTCAACATTAGTGGCATAAACATAATAGTATAACATATAACACAGAAGTAGTTGTCAGCTTGATATTGAGTGCAGGTTTTAACCTTTTTATATAATTTTATTTTTATTTATTTAGTACACATTAGAAAATATAAAAGTTTCAAAGTAATTAAAGATCAAAGTTTCAAAGTTATTCAATTCAAATGGATATAAAACAACTTTGAAATTTTTATTTTTTCTATAGTCTATTAAGTCTACAAAGACTTATTTGTCCCACTGAATTACCTCTTATCTTATTTGAGAGTAGAGTATAAATGTTTATGAATATGTATGTATGTGTGTATAACTTATATATAAATCTAAAATGGTATAAATAGATAAATGACAAAAAGAAAATAACCAGTGAAAGATAGGAAACAATATTTGTTCGTGTTTTTAATTCTTTTTCTCCTTCATCCAAAGTTAAAGCTTTTGCTCTCTCTATTTCTTTGAAAATCTCAACTAGGAATTGCAGTTCAACAGAATTTTTCTTTAGGGAGCATATGGTTTCCTCCTCTAGCTCTTCTGATATGCTGTTAAACAGCTGTGGATCTAATAATTAACAAAAAAACAAAAAAATAAATAACTAAATAAAATATTCACACAAACTTCAGTATTTTTTAAAAATCTATATAAATAAGTATTTATATTTGTATGAAACTTAAGATAATCAAATAAACCCATTTATTACCAACTAAAACATTACATAAAGCTTTTGCATATCATTTTTCCATAATTATGCAAATAATTATGCAAACTATACTTAGTGCGTATATATATATAATATACGCACTAAATATTTATATATATATATATATATATATATATATATATATATATATATATATATATATATATATATATATATATATATATATATATATATATATATATATGTTAGCAATCGTTACAATACTTAGTGCAAAGATAATTATGCAAACAATAATTAGTATGTGTAGTGCATATGTAACCATGTCAACAATAATCATTAATATGTGTAGTGCATATGTAATTATGCAAACAATAATCATTAGTATGTGAATTACATATGTAATCATGTCAACAATAATAATTAGTATGTGTAGTGCATATGTAATTATGCAAACAATAATCATTAGTATGTGAATTACATATGTAATCATGTCAACAATAATAATTAGTATGTGTAGTGCACATGTAATTGTGTAAACAATAATCATTAGTATGTGTAGTATATACGTAATCATGCCAACAATAATAATTAGTATGTGTAGTGCATATGTAACTATGTAAACAATAATAATTAGTATGTGTAGTACGTATGTAATTATGCAAACATTTTAATGCTTAGTACTACACTTTAACTATTAATTTCAAATTATTTTTATGGTGTCTTACGAAACTCATCAAGATCTTTTTTATGCTGCACTACTTGGTTCCAAGCCCAGTCATAAATAAGCTTTATACTATAACCAGTATGAGTCACACTTCCGTGAGACCATTTCCTTATACAGCTTGTAATAAAACTTAAATCTCCATGTTCCAAAGACAAGGTAAGTAATGCTTCAGTATTTCGCTAGTAAAAAAGAAAAATCTCTTAACAAATATAAATTTTGGTTCAACATGCATTTAGCCATAAAACATATCAAACATATATTAGCATCAAGATATGTTGTATATAGAAAATAAATTTTTTTTGAGCATTAGCACAACAATAGGTTTTAAAAAATATTTATAAAATAATTATTTTAACAGAATAAATATATTTGTTATAAATTTGTTATACATTCTTTTTGACAACAATAATAAATAAAAAGTCCACATTTCAAAAATAATTTCAAAAATCATAAATAAACACATTACCTTATCGTTGTCAGCTCTTCTGATGTCAAAGTTATTCAGCAGACCTGTGACCCAGCAAGACTGAACCAACTCTTGTGACTCTAAGAATGTATCTGTTCCCAATTGATGAATATCAGCCAAAATCTATTACAAAGACAAATATCTCCATAATAACTTACATTAAAAATCAAAACAACACATAAAAATATAATACTTTTAAAACTATAATAATAATACGCTGTATGGGGGCATATTTGATGCAATTTATTTTAACTAATACAAAAAATTAAAAAACAGAGAGGGTTCCTTTAAGGTTTTAAAAATTGCAATTTCTTTCTTTCATATATTCAAATTTAAATATTTCATATTTTTGGATAAAGAACCACTGTATTTGATTGCAGAAATAAGTGAAGGTTTTGAGATATACAAAGTTATAAAAAAGTCAATAGACTATTGCATGGTTAAACAAGCTCATAATAAATAAATAGCTTTTAAGATAAATTGTATATATATTATTATATTAGTATATATATTATTATATTATACATTATAATAATTAATAAATATCAGGGAGTATTATATGAAATACTCAATTTAAAGAAATAAAAAAAAAGTATAATAAGAAGTAAACCATGTTGAGAAAAAAATTGGGAAAAGTGATGAAAGCTGTGCTAAAGTGAAAAAAGTTAACCTTATGTGTCATAAGGTTAGTTTACCTACATTACTTAGGAGAGACAAAATATCTTTCTAGTGTGCTAACATGTCAATAATTACAGCAAACTGATGTGTTTAGCTGGTGACAGATTTTTGCAATACAACAGTGAATGAAGGCAAAATGACAAAATTATTGGGAAAAACCTGGGTCATAAAGATTTATAAAGAGGTTGAAGAATAGAAATGAAGCTGCTTAATTGTGTGTTAAAGATTATAAGTTATTTTAGAAAAAATAAAAAAATTTGATTACAGTAAAATAAGGATAACTATAAATACAATTTTATTGTTCCCATAGTAATCTTTTGTCAATTCAAGAAAAAGTTAATAGACACATGACATTCTGATGGTATTAATAGGTATAAAAATAATTTGACATTAGAGGTCTTTACTATCAATATTGACTAATGGCAAAAATCTTATTGGGTCGTCTAGTTGATATATTCTTGGATTATCATTCACTACTGACCTCTCATGGAAACCATATAAACAGCCCATTGTTAAGCTATGATATGCTCTAGTAGTTTTTTGTTGTTTTATTGAGTCTCTGCTATCGTTGAGTGAATTTGCTATCATTATAAAGTTGTCACGAGCTTGTAATTGTTGTAAAGTACTCTTTTTCTTTTCTACAAACACTATGATACTTGCTGCTCAAGTAAGCTATGATTGTTTGCTCCATCAAAACAGACTTTGTTTTGCACTGAACTGTATCAGTAGTCAGTACTCAATTGAGCCATACTTTACATAAACACTCTCTAAAGCAAGAACTTTAAAAGCTTCTTACTTTAAAAGCTTCTTTTTTTAAAGTAGGAACTTAAAAAGTTTCCTACTTTAATTTCATGATTTTATAAGAATTTTAAATATCGTTTAAAGCATAAAATATAAGAGAATTCTTTTTATTATGTTATTTTCCTACCCAAGGTCGAGGAAGTCATTGCAGTCAAGAAGGCTACTTTATTGTGATTACTCTCTCAACTTTTTAACTCTGCAATATGAACTTTGAAAAACAAGGTTAGTACTCGAAGAGTTGAGTGCAATACTACCAGGAATATAGTGTTCATTGAACTCGAAACATTTTGCTTATGCAGTGAGTGGTCTATCACTATACCATAACCACATTAAATTAGGTCACAATTGATATTTTAAGTGTTTTAGGATATAAACTCATTAGTAGATACAAATTATTACTGACCGAAAACTATACCTAAGACAATGTTTTTTTAAATATGTTTCAAATAGGGTAAAGCGGGGAAATATGATCAGAGGGGCAATCTTTTTTAGCAGAGCTAAAACTAAATTCTTTTAGGCTATTGTGTAAATAATAATTTACTAAGTTTTACATGATATATGTTTACTTAGTACGTAAGAGAGTAGTTAAAAACATTTCTTGGACTATGAACTAATTTTTTACCATTAATAATTTGGTTTTTAATATCGATGTTTTTTATGGCAATTTTTAATTTTGTTCGAAGTTTATAAAAAACTTTGCCGAAATCGGTGCTCCTCAGTTTTTAATTAAAAAGTCTATACCATGTTGTTTTATTTTTATTTGAATAAAAAGTCTATACCAAGTTGTTTGTTTTTATTTGAATAAAAAGTCTATACCAAGTTGTTTGTTTATATTTTTCTTGAAAGTAAAGTAGTATCTAAGTTTAGTAAGTTTTTACTTACTAAACTAAAGTTTTTACTTACTAAACTAAAGTTACACATTCTACTTAAGTAACATTTAGACATAAAAATAGTAATTTAAATGTCATATTTATTTCAGTAAAAATCATTGAGTCATTGAGCCATCTAATGAAGGCTTAGACATTTTACATTTATACCTTTAAAATTACCAAGCACACAAAATGTTTTTGTTTTCCTAACAAAGGTAAGACTTATTTGAGATGCTTGTTGCAAAAAATTTTGTTTATTTGTTTACTTAGAGAATAAAATTTTTATTTTAAAACATGTAGATCTTAATGCCCTCCCTGACTAGTAAAAAATGGCAAAACTCTTTAATAAATTTACATCAAAATATATTGTTAAAAAAGTATGAAAAAAATTGTAACCAACTTTTTAATGAAAAAAAAAAATATTTTTAATGTATTTTTGAAAATAGTATTTTTTTTCCTTAGAATGGTTTGAACATACAAAAAGTTGAAGCAGGGAGGTAGAAAATCCTACTCAAACTGTCAAGAAATGATAAATGCCTGCTGTTCTGTTTTAAATAAAGAAATGTCAATAAACCAGGCATCCAAATATTTTAGGTGTGATAGAAGAGCGCTTTTAAAAGGAGTAAACGCCATACTGAAAATCCTGAAACTATCAAAATTTGGTTTAATTTAGTAGAAAAAAACATTAAAAAAAGCAGGAATTATTAACCTTCCTAATCAAATCATTAATTCTGATGAATCAGGGTTCGTCACGAAACCAAAGAAGTAAATTGTATTAGCGTAACGACATGCTTCTTGAGTGTCAAAGAGCATTGATGGATCAGGCAGGGAACAGGTTACTGTGAATTGTGCATGCTCTGCTAGTGGGCAGGTATTGCCACCACATATTATTTACATCAAGTAAAATATACATATATGATCAAGTAAAATATACAACCCTAAACAATCTGGGATATTTTAGTTCACAGGCTTAAGTTACCACAATATTATACATATTGAACTTATATATAAATAAAAGAACATAGAGATAAATAAAAAGTTAAAAAAAGAAACAACTATTTTATCATTTTAAGGTAAGACGTGCAAAACACAGGACAATGGCCTCAATAAGTTTACATATTTTGATGATACTGATGAAATAAAAAACAAATTATGTTTATTTAATTATTTTTTTACTAAAAAGTTAACTATATTGTTTCAAATAGTTTTTACTATAGATTTTAAAAAGTAACAGTTTCTGTTATTAATATCAAAAATAAAGCTACTAAAGAAATCCAGACCATGTAGTAATAAGTGAGAGGGGGGGACGGGAGCTTTGATTTTTTTCAATTTCATTTTTTGTTGTATCCTGACCATCTATGAAAATAAAAAAAAAACAAAAAAAAAAAGGGGGGGGGGGCGGGGGGAAGCATTTTCAGTTTTGATTATTTTTAAGCAGGCAAGTCCATAATTTAAATTTAAAGTGCTGTGTTAAATATATAAATTTACAAAAAAAAGATGGAAAGGGGGAGATCGCACCCCCTCATCTATGACACACCGCTAATTGGATTTAAAATTTATTTTGTTTGTTTATACAATGAATAAAAAGATTTAACTTTGAATAAATTATACCGTCTATAAAGGATTACATTAATAGTCAAATGACAATGTATCCCTGTGTTGCTTATAATTTTTGATTTATAATTGATTGGAATAATTAATCATAACTTCTTAAATACTCATTTTCAGACCATATTTCTTGTATCTTTCCAACGATATATGAAAAATTTATTCAAATTTTTTTTTTTCTTTCCATATAAATAAAATCCTTTTATATAGGCCTAAAAGTGCACCTTTCAAAGCTACAATTGTTGAGGATTTTTTTTTTGGAAAATTATCACACATTTATGTTCACTTGAACATAGTTTTACCTTAATATTATTTTATTCCTGTTGAAGTTCTATTGTATCATATTTTACCATGCAGCATTAAAGATTCGGCATTATATGAAGATAGAAGTGATAAATGGGTGTGATATGACATATTTGACATTTTAGAGAATGTCAAAGGCACTTTAATTACAAAAAAGGACAATATTTAAATTATCAAATAAAATTTTAACAATTGCGCAGTCTTGCTTAAAATATATACATTCAATATATCTGGTCCTATTACCCCCCCCCTTTTTTTTTTTTTTTTTTTGCAATTTTTTTTTTTAACAAAAGTTTTTTTTTCTAAATAAAATGCTATGCCTTGTATACAAATATGTTGTCTGTCACTATGAAAAAAAAAGTTCTAGAATTTTATAATATTCATTTATTTCCATAGAAAAATCTGTAAGTAAAAAAGTGGTCTTAATGCCCTCCTTTGAAAAACTTGAGGTTTTTATAAAGCAATTGAAATGTTAAAAAATTAACTTTTTTTTTTTTAAATATATTTATAAAATATTGATAAAACATGACATGCATTAATAAAGTGTAAGATATTTGTCATATATAATGTATTTGAGTTGATAAGTAAATATATAATAGGCAATTGAAAAAAAAATTTAAATTATTTAAACCATACCTGTCTCTGTGTGCCTAGCATTTCAGCAAAAATGCACCCGGTTTCAGATACACAAACTGCTTTAAATGAAGAGGATGATGGCCAATAAAATTGTTCACTTTGAGGTCCTGCCACTGAGCGGAAGTTATTCCAGCTGCATCCATCAATAAAAATATCCACTAAACCAACAGGAAGAAACTTTTCTGCAATATCTGTCATAGAATAAAATATAAAAAACGGACAAAGTGGTTCCATTCGTCCATACATTGCTTGTCTAAAATAAAAATTTAACAATCAGCAAATAAATTGATAAATTCAAATTCAAACTCTAACTAACAAGGTAAATTTTTAAAAAATAAAAAACTTTTAAAAGGTTATCATGGTTAACTTTAAAAGTTTTTACTTTGAGAATTTAAAGAATAAGAAAAAAATATAAAAATCTATTATGTTTATAAAATATAAAAATTTTTACATAAAAAACTATAAATCAAAGACAGAATCATCACCGTATGGATGGGGGAAGCTGCTTTTGATACCAACGATTTATATCAAACACACCAAGATGGCAAGATAATCCTCCATCTCCTGTTGGTGCTTCCCACAAAATATAACACAATGATAAATCTCCATCTAAAGTAAAGTTGCCTTGTAGAGAAAAGAAAAGTAAAACTAAGAAATGTTTAGATATTAGGACTGAAAATGTTGATATTAGGTCAAACTTTAACAAAACTTTACAAATACTAACCAATGTTAATTATAATCTGCAGATATAAAAAATATTAATAAAAAAAATTAATTTATTTAAGTAAAATATATATATATATATATATATATATATATATATATATATATATATATATATATATATATATATATATATATATATATATATATATATATATTATGGTGACTTCTAAAAGCAACATTTGAAAAATATATCCCACACCCTAACAATAAAAATATATCCCACACTCTAACAGTGATCTATGTAATAATATATCCCACACCCTAACAGTGATCTATGTAATAAAAAAATACAGAGTTTCAAATATTTCTATGTATAATATATCCCACACCCTAACAGTGATCTATGTAATAAAAAATACAAAGTTTCAAATATTTCCTTATAAAAATTGTTATTAGTGGTAGCTCAAGATCTTTAAAAATCAGATGGGTCGATAATATTATTAAACAATAAATTTTTTTAAACTCAGCTTCAAAAAAACTAGAGTAAAATGAGGTCAAATGGAATAGTTAAGGATTTTAATTATAAACTTTTTACGGAAAAAAGATTTTTCCTTTTTTTTTTTTAAAGTTGTAGAGAGTATTGAGCTGTATTTATATATATAAAATTTTAACAATTTTTTTATAAAGTTTTTATGAAACTTTATTTGATTAAAAAAAAATTTATTCCATTCTACACTGACGTTCGGGGAGAATGAAATACGCAAATATAAGTGTAATTAAAACGACACTTTATTAAAAAAACAAAAAAGCAATCAAATATAGCAATTAAAAAAACCATCAATAATAACAATTAAAAAAAATCAATTAAATAAACTTTTTTATTCTTGCGATGATGCTGATCCATTTAGAGGTACTTGAGGTTGAGTTGAGTTTTCACTTGTGCGGCACTTTTTGTAACAATAAAACTCAGCACCTTTTATGTATTGCTTTGGTATGCATGCTTGACATCCAAACCTTGCAATTTGAATTTTCACACTGGTACCATTCCATAATTTGACTTGCTGAAGTTTCGCCCAAAACTTTTCGGCACTTTTTACACTTGAATTGGTTTGCAGCTAATATTTTCATTGGACTTGTTGCTTGGTTTATTTTAGGTTGTTTTTTACCTTGCTTTGCAGCTTTTTTGCTGTCAGCATCCTCCAACCTTTCAAGTTTTTCAAGTTTGTTGAGACACTCCCCTTCGAATCTTGGCACATCTATATTTTTTCTTTTTTTTTTGTGTCAACATATTGGATACGAAACATTTGTTGCAAAGCTAATCCAAGTGATTGGGCTGATTGCAGTTGTTTTGCAACCTCTTTTTTAATTTCCTTTTGAATAGCCGGAGTTACTACAATACTGAAGGTTGTTTGCAGACAAGGTGACTTTTGAGATGACATTAGAGCTGATGCTATTTGACATATACTGATGCTAGATGTTAGTGTAGATTCAGAGGGCAATGGTTGAAGTAGTGTTCCTGGTACTAGTATTGGTGATGGTACTATCATAGATTCTGGTTGTTGAGATGAGGAAGGCTCAGGTTCAGATCTCGGTGTTTCAAATGTATTAGAAATTTGCAACTTTGACTGATCGATTTTATTGATGTTGAGTGGAAACAAGCCAGTATTCTGAAACCCAATGACTATCTGGGTACATGTAAAAACTTTACCAGAGCTGAAAAGTTTTTTTTGCAGGTGACTGAAACATTCTTTTGATAAGTTGCTAAACTTTGTCTCTGCATAAAACTGTTGAAGTAATTTACGCCAAACTCTTTTGACATGGCAATAAACACTAACATCTAGAGGCTGTAGAATGTGCGACAAGTGAGCTGGTAAGCAAATTAAGAGAGTAAATAGCGAATTTCATTCATTTAATAGAACCATTTTATAAAAGCAGTAAGTAAAAGTCATTTAAAGTTGGTTAGAAAAATATGTTCATTGAAATTTATACAAAAAATTTATATTTGGAGATTTATTGGTCACTTGAGATCTAATAAAAAAAAAAACTGCTTTTAAGTAATAAGCTATTGCTTCGTATTTATTTATTTATTAGCGTATTTCATTCAACCCCGCAACACTCAGTTTCTGTTTTTAACTCATAACTTTTTTTTCTCGAATAGCAGATTTAATTTTGAAAAAAGATTCTTGATCAGCGTAAAAAATTATATCAGTAAACATTTTAAGTTTAATGATACCAAATTTAATCTTACTCAGAAAAATATTCTCTACAATATAATTAAAAAATATTTACAAAAAAATTATTGAATAGTTAATTAAAAGCGAAAGAACAAACATTGTCATAACTTTTTGTTCTACCCGCTATTTTATTTTACCCTGTTTTACTCTATACTTTTTATGAAATAAAATCTACAATAATATTATTTATACAAAATTGTTATTTTAAAGTTTAAAAAAAAAATTCTTTTTTAATTCTACCCAGGTTGACATACTTTGTCTTACTCAGGTTGACATTTTTATCTACCCAGGTTGACACTTTGTAAACTAACTTTCTTTTTAACTTAATAATTGCTTTATAATTTTCTTTATAATATTATGGACCTATTCAAAAAATACTTTTTTTATATGAAAGTTTCCTTGTATTTCATTTTTTACAAAAAAAAAACATAAAAGAAAAAAAAAAAGAAAATATTTAAAAATAAAAAAATTTTTTTACTGATATTAAATTAAAAAAAAAAAAAAAATTTTTAATCACTTGTTTATCAAAAATAAAAAAGCACTTTACATCTAAAAAACGATGGAGCAAGTAACTTTTGACTTTGACAAAAAACAACAGTTTTTTTTTCATAAATTTTAGTTTAAAATCATTTGAATAAAATTTTTTTTGAAACTATTTTTTTCATTTGAACATGTTTTTTTTTCAGTTGTCGCTTTAAGCGAAACTGCTTGTAAAAAATTTTAAAAATTAAAATAAACAGATATAAAAAAATATCCTACCTAATGATTTCAATGTAATTATACGACTTCCTGGTGTTCGAGAGTCAACAAGATGATGAACATCTGATGTCAGCTTGTGCTCAAAACGACTCATCACACACTCAAGATTCTAAACAATGTTAAAAAAATCTTTTATAGTAATAAATATGAATTGATTCTGATACAAATCTTTCTTTTGAAAACTATTTCATTTTATTTATCTAAAGTACTTACAGTAACCTTGAAGTATTCTAAAAGTATTATAAGGTTCTCACAAAAACCTTAAAGTATTCTTAAAGTTTTATAAAGTACTCACAAAAACCTTAAAATACTCTTAATGTTTTATAAAGTACTCACAAAAACCATAAAGTATTCTTAAAGTTTTATAAAGTACTCACAAAAACCTCAAAGTACTCTTAAAGTTTTATTAAAGTATTACAAAGTACATAAACTTAATCAAAAAAAGTAAAACACATAAACATAATTAAATACATAACAGTATTAAACAGTAAAAGTATTAAACATAATTAAACACATAACAAATTAAACAGTAAAACACAAAAACACAAGAGTGCAAATTACAAGTAATGTGATCTTAGGTCAAATTATACTTAAGTCAAATGATATAAACAATAAAATCTTACTTTGTAAATAACTCCATAGTTCTTTTTTGTTTCTTTTTTCTCGTAAAGCATTTGAAACAACTCCAGAGATGTGGGTGAAGTGATACTTAGTTAAAAATAGAAAAAAAAACTTGACAAAAAGCTTGAATAAACAGAAAAAATAATTTTCTTTAAAAATATTTTTGTCACAGGTTGTTTTCATATAGTACTGTACTAACAATGCCTAATCTAACCTTTGTTGTGACTGCAATGGACTCCTACCAACCCATAAATAGAAGCAATGTCTTGGATCATCATCTGGTTCCTTTAATCAAAAGTACATAAAATAAATGATTTATAGCAAATAAAATAGTTATTAAAAAGTAAAATAAAAAAAATTCAATGTATTGTAGTCTCACAACTTTGAATAGAACTAAACTTTGGTTTTTTACTCTTATAATTAAATTTATAAATTTTGAAATGTATGATTTGAGAATTACAATGATTTGATTTAAGATTTATGATTTGATCATGATGCTAATTTGATTGATGCAGACTTGTGATTCAAGAAAAAAAGTATTTAAACATAATTGGAGCATTTGCAGCCCTTAAAATTCAGATCAACATTCGATAATACAGACATAAAAACCCACTTATCTTAGCTTTAACATAGTATACAAGCATATTTAACACCTGAATTGCTAAAAGTGACTGCATGTTCAGAAATATTTAAAATTAAATAAAACAAAATATTACTTGACATTAAACATGTTTTGATAATATAACTATTGTAATCATTATTTATACTAAAGTTGAACAAGTTATCGAAACTAAAAAAAACAAAAAAACAAAAAAAAAAGACATGAAATAATAAAGATTATTTGAATAATTTTTTTTTTTCATTTATTAATTTTTATTCAAGCAAATTAAAAAAAAAAGAATAGCAAGCTACTTAAATCATTCAAAAATTTATAAAAGCATTCTTTTCAGTGTCTGTCATTCTCTTGCTTAAAGTTTTTTAGCACGATTATTAATGGTACTAAAAATTCAATTAAATTTTTTTAAAATTTAAATAAAACAGACCTGTGTAACAAGATGTGTGACAGGTGACAAATTTAATCCAATATCACTGCTATACCTAAATATTTTTAAAATGAAAATAATGTTACAATGTGTATAGACATTTTAAATATTTTGTTAATAAAAATTAAATAAAGTTAAACTTATTTCATTGAATTTCTTTCCTCTTTGTTTGGATACAATTGAAACATAAAAGCAAAGAGACATTTGTTTTGACACAATCAAAACAAAAAGAAAAGAAATTCATTTTCATTGGATACTAGTAATTAGGTCCTAGCACTTTTTTAAAAAAAAAAAAAACTAATTCTCTCCCGACAAGGCTACAAGCAACTGATATTAATTTGAGAGACAAGAAAACAAAGAATATTATTAAAGAGCGAGGAAACACTTGACAGAAGACTTAAAAGATGTAGGTTATATGAGTCAGGAAAACATGAAAATGGCAGAGATTTTTAAAAAATTGATGTGCAATTAAAGAAACTAAATGAATAAAAGTTTTTAAAGCATGAAGTAACGGATACAGTAAAAGGATGCAACTTTGCTGAATGATAAGTCAAGCAAGAATGAGTTTTGGTTGACGGAACTAGATTTGATTGCTCCTTTGAACAGCAACCATGATAGTATTTGTAGATAAGAGAAAGAGAGCAACCTTACGCTGATGGGAGAGAGATAAACTTGACAGATAAAGCAGGTCCAACTACATTTACAGTGCATTAAGATCTAGGCCTTCCTATGTGGATGAGTTTGATACATATTGTTCTATTATTTGTGAGATAATGCTGCAACCATGACTTTAAAATATTGACAAATTTTGAATTGATGGTGTTGCTGGAAAGTGCATTCCATGGTGTACAAATGCAACTAGTAAAAAAGTTGTGCTTCTCTATACAGTTTTTGACTTGAAGCATAAACTCTTTATTGTGTCTTAGGTCATATGATATTGATTTGGCAAAGAGATAAAATTTTGGTACATAAAAATCTACTTATTCAAGTTTTTGATTGATTTTGAATTGATCTTTAAGGTCCCTTCTTTTCTTGTGTTGTCAGTCTCAGTACTTCTAATCTATTTTCATAAATATGGTGTCTTATTGAGTTAATTAATTTTGATGCACGATGTTGAATTTGCTCTAATTTGTTGATATCACCACTAAGGTTTGGCTTTATTATTATTTGCTCTAATTTGTTGATATCACCACTAAGGTTTGGCTTTATTATTATTTGCTCTAATTTGTTGATATCACCACTAAGGTTTGGCTTGGATTGCGAACTCTAGATGAGGTTGAATGTATAATATTCGCCAGAGTAATACACTGAGTTTTAGCACACCTAATTTCCAGTTTACTTTTGCTGCTGCTGCATCTACTTGTGACCTTAATTTCAAATCATGAGACACAAAAATACCAAGGTCACACTCAATTGTGGTACATTTTAAGATGACAAAGTTCATCTTGGCCTAACATTGTATAACTATGTGTTGATTTTTTTTTTTTTGTGACATTAACCTTACACTTATCAAGATTTAAAAACACTCGCCAATTTCTATGTCCATTTAATGGCTTTATCAAGATTATTTTGCAAATATAGCGCATCAACTGGTGTTTTTAAAATTATCATTTTTTTGCTATTATTGACATAAAGTTATATATAATTGGAAATGTTGTCTGGTAGGTCGTTTATGTATCACAAAAAGGGGACTAAAACGGATCCTTGAGGAACTCCAGTTATTACTTTTTTCCATTCAAATTTTTTTTTCTGTTCAAATTTTTTATGTCCAACTGTAACTCTCTGTAGACGCCTGGATAGCCATAATTTGATCCATTCTAAGAGCATTTTTTGTATGCGGTAAGCTTTCAATTTATGTATAAGTCTTTTGACTTTGTCAAAGGTCTTAGCTAAATTGGTATAGACAACATAGATAAGTTGGTTTCTATTAGAGGCTTCAGTACAAATGATAAAAGATTTCAACAAATTGGTAGTGCATCCATTTTTTTCACAAAACCATGCTGAACTTTAGTAATTAAATCATTGGTTAGCAAGTGATCAGAGAGTAATTTGTGTATTAATCCTTTAAGTATTTTACAGGATATTGAAATTTTCAAGATTGGTCTATAGTAACTACAATTCAACTTAAATCCCTTTTGAATATTGGCATAACTTTTTCTTCTACATTCTGGAACTTCCGTTTTTATAATTGAGGAATTATAGATAAGTGTTAGGGGTACTGCAAAAGTGTTCGTACAGTTTTTTATGTCTCTGGGATATACTCTATGAAATCCTTTTGATTTGGTCACATTAAGGTTCATCAATTTACTTTTTCTTAATTGATAACCATTTTAACTTTTGGCACATTCATTTTTGGTTCGATTGTGGAAATCTGATATAAGACCTTCGGCCTTTATTTCAAATACAGATTGAAAATACTGGTCTTGAGTTAGAAATGAAATTCATCATATATATAAAAATTTTTGTTAAGTGATTTTCTACTAATTTATAATTGCTCTATTCTTTTAAGAACATTGAGCACTCTATTTTGTAGAATATATTTTTAAAATTGTTTATATATATATATATATATATATATATATATATATATATATATATATATATATATATATATATATATATATATATATATATATATATATATATATATATATATATATATATATATATACATATTAGGGTTGTGACTTTTTAAAATGTAAAATTAGGAACACTTTTTAGCATTGTTCGATGTTGGTTGCAAATGTTTTTTTCAATACTCTATATATCGGACATTGCCCAGCACTTATATGGTAAAAAACGATATCTATCGGTCATTTTGTCTGACAAATATTTTATGTGCATTTATTTTCTAATCATTTTAGTTGTTCTAAAATCATTAATAAATTCAGTATTGTATATAACCTTTACTTTTTGAACTTTTTTTTTTTTTATATACAAAACAAAATTGAAGTTGAACACATGGCTACGTTAACAAAATACGTCATTTTTTAAAGTTAATTTATGTTTTAAAAGACGCCAAAGGATTACATTTTTTTGAATTAAATAGCCCAGTTTTTATTATTCATATTAAAGCATTGCAATTAGTTATAGTTTAGTATTTAGTTGTTTTTTTTGTCCTATGGTTTTTATAAATTTCAAACAAATATTTTAGTCTTTAAAACCTCTTGTAAATTTATTTTATAAAAATTTTAATGTGATAGTTATTTTAATGCTTATAGAAACCACTATTAAATTTGAGGTTTGTTTTCGCACTAAAAATGTTTGCAATTAAAAGTGTTAATAAAATTAATCCTAAAAAAAGTTTGAAAGATTTATAAGAAAATACATATTTATATAAATGTAATTACGTGTAATATACTTTGATAATTTAAATAAAATGTGTTAATTGTAAACAATATAATTAATTTGTTACTTTATTTAATAGTAATCAGCATAACAGTAATAAAAATAATAATTAAACTTAATAATTTAAAACTTAATTTATGTATTTAACTTAATGTAACTTAATAATTTATATATTTAATATGTTTACATAGTAATAGATGTATTTAATAACTTCGTATTTTTATTATACATTCTTATAACATATTTAATTAAGTATTTAATTACATAATTTATGTATTTAATATATTTACATAATAGTTTATGTATTAAATAATTTACAAAGCATTACGCATTATATAGACTATATTATATAGTAATTTTGAAAATATGTAATATAAATATCCTTTTCAAATTTTAGTTTCTTGAGCTTTGATTTTTTCTTTTTCTTTAAGATTTTCTTTTTGATAGATATTTAATCTTACAAACTTTATTTTCAGTGAATTTTGAAACACCTAGAGTTGTCAAAACAAATTGCGTGGTCAAGTTGTAAAAAAAACTTATCCTTAATAGCTAATGGAAAATAAATTTCTGACTGATAAACTAAAATTAAACAAATATATTATAGGTAACTATTGGTAACTTAATAATAATTATTTTATTGATAATTGATTATTAGAACAGTCATTTAAAAATTGTAAAACCCACATTTTGATCCTACATACCAACTAAAATATAAAGTTTCAACTTTATATTTTAGTTGGTATGTAGGGTCAAAATGTTTTAAAGAATGGTGTGGACAGCAAGTTTTATTTTTTTCTAAAAAAAACCTCCTGTTATATTGTTGTAGGCTTAAATTGATCAATATTAGTGATAACATTGTTTGCAAAAATCTTAGTGCTAGTCCTCTTATGCCTTACCTTGTACAAAACTTGTCAGGTTAACTAATTTAATACAAAATAAATCAAATTTTATAAGAGAATACTAAAAATGAAAAGAAATCAAAGGATTAAAATTTAGATAATAAGATCAAAATATTTAAAATATAAAATTTAAAATAATTTAAAAGTAATTTTTAAAGAAAATTTACCAAAAATGCCAGGAACCAATTTTTTGCTAAAGTGCTCAAAGTGTTAAAATGATTTGAGAAGGAAGGGAGCATTATTTATAGATTAAAATCACACTAAAATAACTTTAAACATTGAAATTTATAGTTGAAGAACTTGAGATAAAAATCAAACACAGAAATTCTTGCTTACAAAGCAAGCGGTCTATCACTACTCAACTACTGCATATAAACTTTTACCACATTTAATGTATTAATTGTAGCAAAAAGAAAGTGGCATTCAATGTATTAATTGTAGTAAAAAAAAAACTGCCATTCAATGCATAAAATTGTTTATATAACTTAAGCAAAAGAAGATTAAATTTTTAAGCTTTCAAACAAAAATTTAAAAAGAGGTTATAAAAAAAATTCTTTTTAAAAATAAATTAAAAAATGGAAAAAATAAAATTACTAACAACAACTGTAAATGTTCCAATGACCAAACTTGAAAACACCCAAAATTAAATCCAACCACTAACTGAATTGCTTGTTTCACAAACTCTAACGCAGTCACTCCACAGTTTTCTAAAAGAATTTAAATATATATTTTTTTAATTCAATTAACTATAGGCAACAATTACGTAAAAAAATGCTAAACATTTATTAGAAGTTATTGCTCAGTTGTTGCTCAATACACAGTTACAGAGTATGATGAATACACAAATGAGTTGTCTACCATAGTTTATATATTAGCCACAGTAAGTAATGCTGTAATACTGAATAGTCAGTTTTTTATTGGTTCTTTATGTTAACTTTGCCTTTAAAATTTTATTTTTTGTTTTAAAATAGCACAACTTTAGTTTTTGTAATGAAAATTTTACTACTAAAAAACAAAACACAAAGTATTTTATTTTCTAATGATCATCATAAAGCTGGAAGAATTAGAGTTAAGTCTAAATATATGTTAGAATAAAAATGTTACATAACATTTTAATAAGTAGGTTCTGCAGTGGTTGAGGTATTTTGAAGGAGCTTTTTGATTCATTATCTCATCATGTATAATACGCTCCATTAGTTTACATACAACTGAAGTTAGTGAAATTGAACAAAAATTAGATGGTTCTTGTTTACTTCCTTTTTTCAATGCTTGCTTTTTTCCAAAGGTCTAGAACATTTGATTTGTAATACTTGTTAAAAATTATTGATAAAGGCTTGCAGAGTGATTTAGAACACATTTTGAGAACTTGAGGGTGAACATGTCTACTCCAACAGTTTTTTGTACATCAAGTTTGTTGATATGAGCTTTAATAATTGCTTATGTGAAGCTTGGATTCAGGCATTCAAAATTAAACTTATTGCTAAGTTTTGGAATGTTTGTAGAATTTTCCTTCATGAATTTTGAAACGAAATACTTAAAGTGCTGGCTATTACAGCTTGATCTGTAGTAGTTTGTATAACTGCTTGAGTTCCATTAGTCAAATATAATGCTTTTATTGATACTTTACTTAAATGTTTTGCTGTTAATATATGCATATACAGATTTAGGATTTTGTTTGGAATTCAGTGCTAACTTTCTTTCGAAATCCCAGATACTTTTTTTCACCTTTTTTTAATCTCTAAATTCAAATGTTTGTAAGCTGTGACCATTGCATATTTTTTAAATTTTGAATAGCGGCACATAAATCACAAGTTGCGCTTTCTTTTACACATGCGTTCAAGTTCAATGTGCATATAAAGAGGATCTTTTATTCTCTTTTTACTATTCATTTTTAAACTAGGAATAAACATATCGCAACCATAATTATAAATTAAAAACCAAATGTCATAAGAATCATCCACGTTTAAACTCGGAAATTTATCAGACCAATTAATTTTGTTAAAATAATCATTAAATTTCTCAAAATCTCCTTTGTTATAAGTAGTTTACTCATTGGTGCTTCTCTATCGTTCCTATTTTCAAAATATGAGTATCTGAGTGGTGACCGTGTTTAATCAACCCCTAAGGAGGAAGATGAATGACTAAAACTACTCTTTTTTCACATTTCATTATTATCAAATCTAGTACATTGCTTTCTGAACCGATTTTTACTTGGAATGCTGGATAGATAACATTTTTGTTAAAAATAGCACTTAAACAACCTTTTTGCTTGAAAATCCTGATCATATTGAAGTAAATTGTAACTTTCATACCAGCTTATTGATGAATAATTAAAATCTCCATGTGTAGATATAATATTTAAAAAATCTATAAAATGTATATGCAATATATATTCTGAAAAAAAAAACATGAATAAAAAAAAAAACAATACAACAATTAACACTTCAAACACATTTTTAAAATAAGTTAGACCATTTCGTGATTATCATATTATTATATAAACCATTAATCTCAGTTCACTATATCTTACATCTTTTATAGAGTAAAAAAATAAAAAAAAGTAAAACACTTATAAGCTAATACTTATGTGAATTATACTAATTATCTTGACTACAAAGTAAAAATCAAAAAAGATTTGAATTCATTCAAATTTTATACCAACAGATATAAAACTATAATGAATTGTTGAAGGATTTTTGATTGAAAACAACGGTGTTGCAAATAATAAAACCACAAATAGATTAATAAATAAATTATTAATTAATAAATTATGCAACAAATAAATCCATGTTAAGTATTACTAATCACCTTTTAAGCTATAATATAATTTTTAAAAGTCTCTTTTATGTTATAATAAGAACAACAGACCTGATGAGCTTACTTTAAGGATTTTTCCAGATGGAGATACATATTTAAAGGTTTTGTAAGAACACATTGAAGCTAAAATATTTTAAAAATATTTATTACAATAAAAAATAAATAAAACATATACAATCATTTAATTAATTCTTTTTAATTGTTAATTTAATACATAATAAGTTATACGTTACATCGATTATTTCAAAATTAAAGTATTAAAAATTAGGTTTGCTCCTAACCTGCTAAATCTACAGCGCAATATTTATCAGTTACTCTAGCTTTATCTCGAAGTTGAATTATATCGCCAATTTCAGCTGGATCAATAACAAGAATTGAACTTGGGGATGAAATTGAAAATAGTTCTGCTGTTTCATCTGATCGTAAGTCAATCAGATATAAATGTCCATCGACTGTGCCAACAGCAGCAGCACCAAAAAAACACTTAAGTGAAACACTAAAGAAATTTAAATTAAAAATAAATAAATTGTAATTTTCAAAAAAAATTATATCTTAAGATGTCTTAAACAGTATAGGAAAGTAAAAAAAATATTTCAGGTTTTCATACAACTATTTTTTTTTCAAACTCATAAATTTTAAATTTGTTTTTTAAAGTTGTAGATTAACATTAAGTTTAACTTATTGGAAGTTTGTACATTTAAAATAACGATAAATAATGGTTTTTAATGCCCCTTAATGCATTAAAAAAAAGATTTTATTGAGCAGTAGAGTTTTTTTAGAAATATTTTTATAATACTTATAATACAATTTTTTTTGCCGACCTGATGCTGATTCTTAAAAGTTGAGGTTGGCAAACTATTGCCGGCATCATTTTTCCTAATTCGGAGGGTTCCATCACATACTAGATATTCTGAAAACTTTTAATTTTCTTGCTATATCTCTGTTACTGATCATAGAGCTACCCTACATACCTATTATTTACCATTGTTGTTGCATGCTTACTGCTTTTGGACCCTGTGAATCTTAACTCAATCTTATCAAAATAATTAATAAAGCTTAAATAAGATCTAGATTGTGAATAACAAATCGTCATAAATTTTTTTAAGGAAATTTCCAAACTAACATATAAATCATTAAAATAATTATGAATAAAAGTTGGGTTGATAAAATTAAAGAACGGAAATCAATTGAAAAGTTATCTTTTTGCCTAATTTGATGGTTGTCATAGTATATCTAATTTATTCGACAGGGTAACACTGATTTGAGTTCTTTTTTATTTCAGAAAACTAGTTAAAAAAGAAACTGGTGTTAATAAATTTGAATATTTTCATGCCAAGTTGGTGAGCATTGTTGTTGTAATATATAATCTACACTTTTGTTACCTCTTATTTCCATTATTTTTATAGTTCTATGAAAAATAAGACATGAGTGCCTCTGATTTCTAAATAATATGTAATGTAGCATGTTAAACTGTATTTTATTTTTTGGTTTTGTGTAAATAATATAAATCTTTATGTACTTTTGCAGATATGAAAAAAGGTGGAGAGCCAAGTTTAAGAAAAAAAGGGAAAGCCTAGGCTTTATTAAAATTGGGCACTATGAAACAAAGGGATATTGGTAAATCGATAGGTTTGAGTCAAAAGGCAGTATACAAAATAAAGCAGATACTATATAATGGTCTAACCTCATTCCCATCACGTTGCACATCAAAGAGTAAAAAAATCATTACTTGGCATGTCATAAGAATTTGTGTGTCTAAATGCCAGAAGAAATGACCAGTTGTGTTGCAGGATGTGATGTCACAACATTTGCAGGATGTGATGTCACAACATGTTAAGAAAGTTTCTGCAAGTTGCATTTGTTGTCACATCATCCAGGCTCGCTTCATTGCCCACCTACTGCACAAGAAACTATTGCTAAATGAGAAACAGAAGGCTTGCCATTTACAGTGGGTGGTCCAGCACAAGGGTTTGAGTAAAGAAGATTGGAAAAAGGTAATTTTTAATGGAGTAGAACTCTTCTAAATATAATTTTTTGCTTATGGTGCAAATGGCTATTCTACTAGCTGTCTTCCTTTTCCTTTTTGAGCAAATTTTATGAGTTTTATTTTTTTAATCATTTCTTTATGTTTGTGTTTTAGACAGTCTTCAATAATGAATTGATATAGTCTTTGATTACAAGTGCCAGCCTGGTAAAAATTGTGAAGCATCCAATATTATTGATGGTATAGTCCATACATGGTGTTAGAAGGCTGTATATAGTGGAGGACATAATAAGACAACAACAGTATATCAAGGTGTTGGAAAAACCTGCCACCTAAGTTGTTAATTCATTTTCCAACAAATGGAGCAATATTTCAACAAAACCGTGCACTTAGTCACACAGCCTGTGCTTTCAAGCAGTACATGTATAGTTAACTAACATAAACCCTATTGAAATTTTGTGAATAGTTGTTAAGCGCAGAATTGCAACAAGAAAGCCAAGAACAAGAGTGGGGCTGATTGGTGCACTAACAGACATCTAGGTAAATGACCCAGATATACAAGAAATGTGCTAAGATTGGTTTCTGGAATGCCCAAGAGAGTTGAAACACTTGCTAAAGCAAAGGGGTTCTACTAAGTTTAAATTGCTTCATATTCTTTTAACTGATAAAGGTCTGATTAACAGTGAAGGTCTTGATTTTTTTGGGTTTTTAGATGTTGATTGATTTTGATATAGATCTTCTTGAATTTCAGCAAAAAAGGACAGCCCTTAGAATTAGGACCCGCATTCAGCAATGCCAAGCTCAAAGTGTTTGAGGTCAAAAAAAATGAGGTTGACAATAAACTGCTGACTTCATTTTTTCTAATTCCTTGTTTGCTTTTAGCCGTAATAATTAAATTTTGGTTGGAGACTATTTTCTTTTGTTGCAAATATTTGATCAAATAATTTTGCAGCAGAAACTTGAGTATATTTTTTGGAAGCATAAAAAAATGTGTGGTTTTTATTTTTTAAAAAATCAGATACCAACATAATGTTTTTACAATTTTTGTGCCAGAAGATTAATGCCTCTGGAAATTTAGAACTGATGTCAGTTTCTACTTTCTTCAATTTGCTAACTAACATTTCCATAACAATGTCAACATTTCCATAGAAATAGAGTAAAGTAATATAAATAAAATCTTTAAAAAAAACTTTTTTATATCGTATAGGTTATATGAAAGACATCGTTACAAAAGTAATAGTAATTTTATTATTGAAAAAATATTTATGTTCTATTTATTGTGAAGTTATTGCATACACCTAAAAATAAACTTTTTTATTTATTATTCTTATACTGTATCTGTCCCTGCATGCTCCAAAAGGTTTTATTCATCTTGCCTTTTTCACCACACTTCAATCCCCACCAGGGACATGGTGGGGATTGAACTCTGAACTTCTCGCTTATGAGGCGAGTGCACTACCACTACAGCACTACCATTATATATATATATATATATATATATATATATATATATATATATATATATATATATATATATATATATATATATATATATATATATATATATATATATATTTACAACCCTCGTAATTAAAGAAAATGAGGTAGGCAATAATTTGCTGACCTCAATTTGCTACATCATTTATAAACTTTTAAATTATTCTATAAGCGGTAAGATAAAATAAGTAATTAACTTTATAAAAAACCACATTAACTTTTGAATGACAATTATGTAAAAAAGTTTGTTATAAAAGTTTGAATGACAATTATGTTAGATATAAGCTAATGAAAAATAACTTTTAATAAATTTATTAATGAAAAAAACTCAAATAAAATTAAAAACTAAGAAAACTTAATCTCTATTAAGCTAATTATTTTATTGAAATATTTAGTAACAGAAAACAAAATTGTTTATAGTTAATAAAAATATTTTTTTTATACAAAGTTATTAAATGGGGCGTAAAAAAAACTTTTATTTATCTTAATATTTATGCATCTTTTTATTGCAATAAAAAAATTACTTAAATTTCTAAATAATAATAATAAATAATTTATCATTAATTTTTTTATTTTATTGTAATGACTGATTTTTTTGTTTGAAAAACGCTAATAGTTAAAGCTTGAAGTAAAGATCAAGAATATAATATAACTTAATTCTGATAAAAAATATATGATTTAACTAATTTTATAAAAATATATAATTCTATTCTCATAAAAAAATAGATCATTTAATTTTAATTAAAAAATATATATATAAATATATATATATATATATATATATATATATATGTATATATATATATATATATGTATATATATATATATATATATATATATATATATATATATATATATATATATATATATATATATATATATATATATATATACATATTAATTCTGATTTTAAAAAAATATATTTAAGTTTAAATTAAAAGTTTATTAAAATTAAATTAAAGTTAATGCTTGGGTTTAACTTAACTGTCAAATTTATTTATAAATATTACTAAATATTGTTCAATATTTAAATTTTATATATTCTTGAAAAAAAAATTTGCTCATTTTTATCGCAATTGTTTTTTCAGTTTTCCTTACTAAACAATTTTTTTTTTTTACTCAAAATTAAATTTTAAATAAATGTGTTTCAAAAATTTGCACTAAACTCAAGTTAAGCATTTTTTTTTTTTTAATGAAGCAAGTAGATAGCACCAATTAATTTTTAATAAAGATATATACAACAATATAATTTTAACAAATGGTGTTTGGAAAAAAATCTTTGCTTTCACACGGCTGTTTCACTCAATATAAAAGCGAGCTTGACATATTGAGTGAAACAGCTTTTAAAAAAAAAAAAGAATTTCTGCATAAAAAGTATAAAAATTTACTAACTTTAAATTAATAGTATTTTTTTTTTATCAGATTTTTTTAGTGCATAGATTAAAAAAAAAATAGTTTAAGTTAGTTTTTTTAGCATTATTCTTTTTGTTTTTACTTGTTTTATATGAAAAACGTTCAATTTTTGTTATGCCCACCAAATTATTGAAACTTCAACCCTTTATGCACATGAAAATCAAAAAAATTACTTTCTGTACTTTTAACTAAAACGTCTTCAACCTTGGCAAATTTTGATGCTTTTAGCAACAAAATTTGTAGTTACATGCATAAAATTTTTGTTTACATTTTAAAGCAATGACGTAACTTTAAATGCGTTACTTCCCAAATTCACTATTTAATAAAATCTATTAAAACAGCTTTTTTAGCGAGACAAATTTTAGTGTATAAATAAAACAAACTTTGGCGGTTTTTTTCTCTCGTGGCTAATCTACAAACATCAGTTAAGTTGTTTAATCCTCTGATATCTATTGCATACTTGTTATTTGTCAAAAATTATTATTTGTTTTTATTTGTTTGTATTATATTTCTATTGAGAAGTTTATTTATCACTATGCATTCTAGTGAAAGGGAGATATTAATACTGTACATTGGATGGGAAAATGGCTGGGAAAATGAAT